AATTAATTGATTAAATTAAAATTAATATTTATATTTTTAATAAAAATTAATTATAAAAAAATATATTTATTGTATTATTAATTTGTATAGATGGGTGGGAGAGAAAAAAAAAAAGAAAGATGAGGGTAAAAATGTACCTTCATTTTAAGACAAAAATGCAATTTAATTTAACTATAAGGATTTCATAATTAAAAAGGTTGTGTTTATCTACGTGTACTTTTTTTCTCAAAATTTCAATGGAATCCAAGGATTGCAAAGCAAGTTTTTACTTTTTTTGGCCAATGCATCAATATTGTTTAGGTGTAATTTGCATGTCACTTTTTTGCCACGTTGTGAAGTGTTTAATTTTTTTTACGAAAAATTATATACGTACACTCAAACAATCAACACTTATTTCAACACCCAAGGCTAAAATGAGGAAGGGTAAATTTATAATTTTATTTATTGTTCATAAACCTTGGGTTTTGAGATGAGTGTTGATTGTTTGGGTGTATGTATAATTGTTCATTTTTTACATGTCATGCTTTTGTCATCAAATTAACAAGCATTCTAAGCTAATATTTATGGAAAGGACAAAAAAGAGGGTCAAAATCTCAAACTTTAAAAACTAAAATAAAGATTTTTTCAAAATGAGTTTCTCTACAATGTATCAGAAAAATATATGTTAAAAATTTAATTAATATATTTTTTTATAATTAATTTATATTAAAAATTATAAAAATTAACATATATTTTAATATCATTGAGACATGAATGATTTTTATTAGTTAATTAATGAAATTAAAGTTAATATTTATATTTTTAATAAACATTAATTATACAAAATATATTTATTACATTTTTATTCTATATCCTTAAGTACAGAATAAAAATATCCTTTTAAAATTTGGAAACATGATCAAAAGTTTATAATAAAGTTGTGCCACAAAAATTGAGGTTGGAGTTGGAACATGTTTGATATACTGATATTTCAAAATATTTTTCTTTAAAAGCTCCGCTATTTCGTATTTGACTTTATCTAGTCTAGAAAATAAAGATTTAGATAATAAATAGAGATAATGGCTTATCTTTCCTTGTAAGTGGTTAAACTTAAAAGGTTAAAAAAACACTTTCTTGATAAAAAAAAATTGAATAAAATATATTTTTTATCTTAAAATAATAGATATCTTTTATTTCTATTTTAAAATTAAGAATTTGAGAATAATTTTTATTTTCATTTATCTTATCTTTAAAAAAGAAATAAAAATAAAAAATAAAAAAATAATAATAAGATTAAAATAGAAAAAAAGATTTTTTTAATATAAAAAAAACTATTATTTTAAGATAAATTTTGAATAAAATAATGCCTATTGTTATTGGACAAGGGAGTATATTTATTTTTTTCTAAATAATTCATATGATGTTATTGCTACGCCTTTGATTACTAAACTCATATATTTTTTTGTTAGTTTATCATTATAACCTTTATTTCATTTAAGAAACAAAAAATTTAAGGATTGGAGAAAAAAGTACTGTTTTGTTACCACATATCTCAAAAAGAGAATTTGGGATAGCTAACCAAAAGGCAGCTTGGTTTAGCTTCGGAAAATAAATTTCCTGGCATGGAAATGGTGATGTAATATAATTAATTATAATAAATTGTTAATGATTGTTTGTTAATTTTGTAGGAAAACTTTTTTTTGGGGTTTTTTTTATGGAAAGTAATTATAATCAAATTACTTTTTAAAAACAGGTAATTATATGTATTTTTTATAATTAATTATACGACAATAATTACTTACACAATTCATTATAATTAATTATATTACATCTTAATTTTTATATTAAAAAAATATATTTTCCTAAGCGAAGTTGTATTGTCTTTTTAGTCAGCTACTCTATATTCTTTTATTGGGATGTAGGATAATCAAACATGCTCAAGATGCAAAAGTTTAATAATAAATTACATTAAAAAAAATGTGATGTGGTATGATTTTTCACCCTATTTTACCTTCTTTTTTTTTATATGGGGGAACGTTTGAAAGAGAATTTTCTTTTTAAATTGTTCATTGACTCAAACTCTCAATTAATTACATCCAAACATTTAAAATTTTAAAATAAATTATTAAGTTTGGAAACTCAGTTCTCACCCTATTTTAACTTTTTTTTTTGAATATTTTAATCATGAAATCGATTTGAACTATTACCTTTAAAAAAAAGAATATGAATCTTACAAAAGTGATTAAAACCACTTGACTCACAGAATCAGATTCTCATCCTATTTTAACTTAACCTCAATATATTTTATAATTCGTATAGTTTTTAAAGAGGTGTGACAATAACTCTATCAAATTAATCGGTTACAATTAATTTATAGCATGTTATAATTGTTTTTGGTAAATAGCAAGTTATAATTGTTATCGGTTAAAAACCAGCTATTGCTGAGAATTTTTCCTAAAGCGAAATATATTTCTAAATGCATTAGTCCTCCAATGCCGCGCGGAGGATCCATTTTCGAAGCAAGCGCAGCCGAGCCAGCCAAGCCATTATACCAAACGGCGGGTACAACTAACTCAACGCACAGTCGCACACCCTTGCTGTTTCCATTCCTTTCTCTTCCTTTCACTGTCGTTTCTTTTCGATTTCTTCTCCACCAAACAGACTTTCTCTCTCCCTGTAGAATTTCTAGGGCTTCTCTCTCTGTATCGGAATCACCGATCCTGCCAAAGCTCCGTCGTTATCTTCACTACGCGGCATTCACCGGCGGAGTTCGTCTCTGAAACCTGTAAGCTTTCACGTTCTCCCATAGTATTCTCCTCTCTCTATCATACGAAAACGTCGTCGTTTAGCTGTCTTGTGTTTCTGACCTTCTGTCGAGTTCGCTCTCTCCGGCATTCAATTTCATGCACTGTAGACGTCGGAGAGAGAGCTCCGTTTTCGGGTTCGGTGATCTGTACGCTCGAATTAGGTGGAAACTGATTCTGATTCCTTTTCGTTGGTTTTGCTGCGGAGGTTGGAGACGTCGCCGTCTTCATCGTCTGGTTTTGTATTTTAGTTTCTGTTGAAATGAGTCAACTCGAAATCAAAACGAGTCAATAACGAGTTTGCTTGTTCTCGAATTCACGCAGACTTAAATCGCAATTAAAGGCCGTTGTTTCCGTTTGTCAGTAGTGTTGATTTGAGGTTGGCTCCGTATTTTGGTGCCTCTCAAGTTTGTTAGTGAGATCAAAATGGAAGACGGCATATCTCCCTAGTGCAGCAGAGATGCGCAAATGGAGTCGTTTTCCGTTGTTTGGGTCGGAGGAAAGGATCTTGAACGATTCGAGTTGATTAACGAGTCAAACTCTGAGTCCTTATACAGTTCTCGACTGTTCCTTTTTTTTTTTTTTTTGCAGTCGTTTATTATTCCTCTTCCTTTCTACTTGTTATATTATCTGAAACATTGCCGTTTTCGTTTCAACGAGTGTGAATTTTTATCATTGGTTGAATTCGGTGAAGAGTCTTGTTCATTCTAAAGGATTCCTGCAGCGATCGACAGTGCGTCTGTGAAATAAATACGAACTCAATTATTTTGATTTGATCCGAGTCAAAGCGATTCAACCGAGTTGGTCTCCATTTCAATTTCCTGTTTTTTGCCCTAACTGCTCCTTTCTTTTTTCCTTTTTGGATTTTCGTTGTAATTTCTTCCTACGGAGTCACTGTTATATATTTTTGGCGTATAAAATCGAATAAAATCAATTATATTTGTATATACTGTAACTGATGCATATCTTAATTTTGAAATCTGGGTTATGTCTTAATTATTTTGATTAATCGCAGATTAAGCTTTGTATTCTTTGTGAAGAAGAAACATGAGCACGCAACTTTTGGAGATTCAACCCAGGGAACTTCAATTCGTTTGTGAGTCCATGATTATTGGATGTCCCATAGCAATCAATTTATTGTTACTTGATTTGTTATTTATTAAAAATAATTTTATATTGTTTTACCAAGAAATAGATGGGGGAAATGGGAAGACGATGTGATTGATGTATGCTTTTATGAAGTATTGTTACCGTTGACAACTTGGTCTCTTCCTGGGGTAGACATCGTTTGCTGCATCATATTCTGTGGAATTTCTTATATATTATGGATGATTACGTTACATATGAATTTTTCTTTTTCTTTTATTTATTTATTTATTTCTTCCTCATTTGAATGTAATTGGTCTTTTGGCAGTTGAACTGAAGAAGCAGCTCTCATGCTCAGTTCGACTGACAAATGACACTCACAATTATGTTGCTTTCAAGGTCTGAACCACGCCCTGCTTTTGTTTTATCAGATTCAGTTTTGATTTTTATAGGATAGAATGCTGGACTGCAATCTTAATTCGGTACTATATTGGCAGGTTAAGACTACTTCACCTAAGAAATACTCTGTGCGCCCAAATGTTGGTGTTATTACACCAAAGTCAAAATGTGATTTTATAGGTATGTATTTTCTCTTTCTTTTCTGTTATGCTTTCTAGTATATAAATTCTTTATGACAGCCTGTGTTCCACAGAATAAATTTCAAGGCTTAAATGGCCTTTAATTTTAGTCTCTTTCTAGACACAGTGTCTTATTTATCTGTGACTAACTTTTTAATAAAAGTATCTGAAAATCAGCTGAGCTGGACCCTAGAATATTTGGTCATTTTACCAGCTGATGAAAGGAAAAACATTGATAGTGGAATAAAGTTTGAGGTGCTACTAGTACATGAGATGCTGTTTTGTATTTATAGAGAAAGTTGCACTATTGAGAAAGCGACACTGGCTCTATAATTTCAATCAATTTGATCAAAATACTTAGAAATCCCAGGCAGTTTAATTATTAAAATGGAGGACAGTTCAGTTTTAAACCGTTGCAGTCCAGCTAATGGGAATTAGTGTTGCAACTTTAAACTGTTGTAGTCCAGCTAATGGGAATTAGTGTAGCAACTTTGGATAAGTACTTAGTACACTGAAAAGTGACTTTTCCATGTGATGTTCCTTTCTTCACCATTTTAATGTTTATACCCCTGCACCATCCTTTCTGAATGTATAGTGGTACCTTTCTATTTTTTCTCAAATCATTTTCTCTTTGGTGTTAACATAGTTACAATGCAAGCTCAACGGGAGGTTCCATCAGATATGACATGCAAAGACAAGTTCTTAATCCAAAGCACAATTGTTCCTGTTGGGACAACTGATGAGGACATTACAGCTAGCACGGTAAGTGTACCATTGTTTTGTTTGGCCTCAATTCAATTCTTGTGTCCTTACTATTTTGTTTTGCAGTTTGCCAAAGATGATGGGAGGTACGTTGAAGAGAACAAGCTAAAAGTTATCCTTGTTAGCCCACCTCACTCGCCAGTGATGTCACCAATTAATGGGACATTGAAGCAAGGGCCAGCTTATGAAGAGCCGATGGTTAAAGAGCCAGTATTCAGTATCAGTAGATTTGAGAGCTTCAAACCAGTTAGATTTCCCTACTTTTCCTGTTGCTGTTATCTATCTTGTTTACCACTGTTGCTGTCTCTTCATTTCACTTCTTATTTTGAATTTTTAAAATCAAGTTAATAGATGTGTATACGTGCACCAACTTGGTCATTGTCAATTAAAAGACTATTTTATCCAATATCAAAACTTGATCCAATTTTTCAGTCTGGTTTTTCTTTTAAATTTTTTTGTATGGGATTCAAACTCTAATTTCAAGTCCTTGAGTGCAGCTTATACTTATTACATTATACAATGTCAACTTTCTTCCTTGTGCCAGGTTGCTATGAGTGAGGAGTGCAAGAGTGTCAACTGTGAGAATTTAAAGCCAATAATGGATGAAGATTTGAAGCAAGTGAAGGATATGGTTAATGGCAAGGACATAAAGGCAATGAAAGACAAAGAATTGCAACTGAGTAATGGTGTTAATGACCAGGAGTTGAAGCCAGTTAAAGATGTGGATTCTAAGCCAAAGGAATTGCAACTGAGTAATGGTGTTAATGACCAGGAGTTGAAGCCAGTTAAAGATGTGGATTCTAACCCAAAGGAGGATGTACTTGACACAGGTGAAGTAGAGACAGCGAAGAATGCGGTATTGACTTCTTTACAAGGTGAGGATTTTAAATTTGTGAAGGCTGAGGAGGAACAGAAGCTGGTGAAAGATATCGAGGAAATGAAGTCAAAACTAAATGAGCTTGAATCAAAGTTAGGCGAGGTCAGTCTTTTTTGAGAAATTATGTTTAAAAATAGATTGGTTGTGATACAGTTCTTGTTTTCTGTGAAATTGCATTGATGGATTTGGATTTTCTAAAGTTCTCTTGTAACATCACACTGCCATCAATATCTTTCATGTGATACTCATACTCCAACTCACTTATGGGGAATTTTGTACAAGGTGATATTTCAACTATCACTCTTGATCTATTTTTTAGGAGCTAGATCACCCCTGATTCAGTTGCAATATACATATCTGTGTGGTTTATGCTCAAAATGATTTTCTATACCTTTGAATACTCTTGACATTGTTTAAGTAATAAATGAATTTCCTTTTTTTTGGCCAACAATTGTGTGCCATTTTGATTTTTTTATTCTTTCCATTTGTTTCCTTAGATTTTTTGATAACATTATATTCTAATATGCTCTCAAAGTTTCATTACTTATTTCACTGTTCTATAGAGTTCTAGTAAGAATGGAGTCATTTTGCAGGCTGGAGTCACCATTTCAAGGCTGACAGAAGAGAGGAGTGCAAGCATTCAAGAGAGGAAAAAATTACAGGAAGAGCTGGTAAGTCACTTTTATGCATTTTTCTTCCAAAATTTTTAATTATGGACACAAAATTGATTCTCTTATTCATTTTTTAGTGTGTGCTCATGATGACAGATAAATTTTCAAACTCTGCTGGTTGAGTGTAGATGATAATTCATGTCTAAAGCTTTAGGTGGAGTTCTGGTTCTGAAATTTGCTCTCTTGCTTGTCGTGAAAAACCACCTTCTCTTTCTTACTCTGGAATTTACCGCTTTTACAATTCACAGAAAAGCATCAAATAAAGCATCTTTATTTGATGCTTTTACCATCACAGAAAAGTATCTTAATGGTAGCTTTTCAAGTTATTTTGTTAAGCCAGTCCATGTCTATTTGAAGAAATCAAATCATTAGTGGCTTTAGACACTCAGTCTGCCTCTGGAATCGAAAATCCTGTTGCACTAGAGTCAAGTGCACCCTTAGCGTCATTTGATTAACACATTTCTAGTTCTTGTTATTTGACTTGTGACACTGGAATCTGTTTATCTACAGGCACTGTTGAGGACAAAGACAGTCAGAAAAAGAGTTCAAGTTGGATTTCCATTCCTATTTGTTTGCATGGTAGCATTCATCAGTGTGATTCTTGGATACCTTCTGCGCTGCTAAAAAGAAATATGTTGATGTAAGGCTATTAGCAGAGACAAATGTTCAGGATCTGTTAATACTTAGGAAATTAGGATATAAAGAAGTTCCACTGCTAGTATGCCTAATGTCAGGGAGGGGAGAAAATAGCTTTTTTAAAAATTCGTTTTTATTTTTACCCGAGGACCGTTATATGTTGCAATTTTAAGCAATGCTTTCTGCCATCAAAATTGCTTTTAAAAAGGAATGATTTGCTTGTATTCCAGAGGAAAATGTGACTTAAATATGAATGTGAACTTGTTTTTTGTAGATGATTTCTGTCAAAATATATTGATATTAATATCAAAGATCTTATACTTTTTACAAATTATTATGCACATGATGCGGGGACTTGCATTGTTCATCGAAATGGTACTTGTAAATTGAGGGTTTGGGTTCTGGACGGTGGAAATTACATGCCTATGCTTCTTTCCTAAGCATTTTTCATCATTCCATGTTTCTGTGGCTTACATGCGTGCGGGAGGGAGCAGAAATCTGATCACTTAAAAATAATTGAAATTTTAGTAATGAAGTTCTGCTTAAGTGGTTAAGATGAAACTCCTAATATCTAAGTTTGAGTATTCATATTCAAGTTTTGTCTTGTAAAAGTTATTGTTCAACTTCATATTTGTTTATTAAAATTTGCAATTTAGTTTAATTGTATTATAACGTGTTAGATGTTATGTTCATTGATTGATGTTAGGTGTTTTTATCAAACCTGTGTCGAATATAAAAAATGATTTTTATTTCATTTATTTTTTCTTTCATCATTTTAATCCTTTCCATTGGATTTATATTTTTAATAAGAAATGCAATGTATAAAGCCATTTTCATATAGCTCATAAAAAAAAAAAGGCCCTTCTCATATTTTTTATTTTTATATTTTTAATCCAAGTGGAAAACATCATGAACATTCGAAGAAAGAGAAAGTTACACTTGATTGGGAGTAAATCCTTACTCCCAATGGCAAATCTTCCTAAAGAAAAAAAAAATTATTAGAATATGAATAGTTAAAAAAAGAATAAAGGTGCAAATAAAGATTTCGACTTTGCACTTTTTTCTATTTAAGGATGTTAACTTTGTTAGTTTCTAAATAAGGATGTTAACTTTCAATTTTTTTTCTAAATAAGAATGTTAACTTTGTCAGTTTCTAAATAAGGATGTCAACTTTTAACATTTTCTATTTAAGGATGTTAACTTTCAACTTTTTCTATTTAAAGATTAATTGAATAGTGATGTTGACCTGGCTAACATATTTTTTAGGTTAAATACTTGAATTGGTCCCTCAACTTTTATTTTTGAACCAATTCATCCTTAAACTTCAAAAAGTACCAAAAATGTCCTTCAACTTCAATTTTCAATTAATAAAATTATTTCCTAATTCATGGAAAATTAATTAAATTTTATTTAATTTTATTAAATGGTAGGTGGGACTAATTAAATGGGAAAATATATTAATTGTTTTAATTTTTAAATATAAATAAAGTAAAATTAAGAATTAAAGTAGTTTGTAAATTATATAAAAGTAAAAAAATCCACATAATCATCTTTTACATGATGGATTTTCCACCTAATATTGAAAATGTA